CAGGAAACAGTCCTCCATAAAATGTGCTGCAGACATCTGAATATTTGGGTTAAACTTGGGTTATGCTTTCAAATTTCATGTCATTTGTATGTAATTTCACAGTATGTTTAGCCTACCGCCTAAATTACTACACTACTTGTGCAGTCACAATTCTATAATGATACAATTTACTCAGGCTTTTTTTTTGTATGCCATTAAAATTATTTTTAGAATAACTGTACATAAATATGTTAAGCAAAACAAATGTGATTATTTCTGATAACTTTTTAACTGCAGGCAGACATTACGGTACAGTACAAATATTTTGAGTTTCCCTTATTCTGTCCCTTATTTTCTTATAAAGAATCACAATTCCCCCTAATTTTCAATTTCTGAAGTTAGCAACCCTAATGATGGCGTAATTATCTTTTGACTCCCCCGATAGTGGCACCTTGCTAAAGAAAAAAAATTAAAATAAAGAAAAAGTCAGTTTTCAGGGATTACAAGACTGTAGAGAACAGTGCACTATTGCAGACTTATATGAGGATTTAATTACATTAGGATTTAATTATTAATTATTTTTAATTAATTATTATGAATTATTTTATTATAAATTATTTTAATAGGCCTTTAGTCAGTCGTGAACTAAAGTGGGCCGGTGTTCTGTCGATTTGCGCTAGCCTGTCAAGATTTTGCTACCTCCCATTCAAACAGTAGGTAGTACAATTCGACAATGAAAAATGCTACCTGTCAAATTATGGTTTATTAATGTCTACACCTACCACAACCCTAAACCTACCCTTACAGTAGTGTAAATACAGTAATTATGTGTTATATTCGCGGTTGTGGCTAGAAGGGGTACAGCTACAGGAAACAAACAATAAATATTTTTTTCTACCTATTAGATTGTGTTTTATTAATGTATACACCTACCCCAACCCTAAACTTACCCTTACAGTAATGCAGATACATTAAATATTGTTGTTCAGCATGAGAAAAAGGACGCAATATTGATGTGCCCATGCGCAGTAAACCCTGGTAGGAAAATCTGACAGGTAGGATCAAATCTCAAGACACCGTTCTAAAGGCATTGAAGGGGTCATATGATGTTGCTTACACAAAATAATGTTCTTTTATTTGGTGTATTGCAATGTGTTTAAGAGGTTTAATTCAAAAAACACATTTTCCATATAATGTACATTATTGTTCCTCTATGCCCTGCCTTTCTGAAACGCGTCGATTTTTACAAAGCTCATCGTTCTAAAACAGCGAGGTGTGCTCTGATTGGCCAGCTATCCTGTGCGTTGTGATTGGCTGAATACCTCTAGCGTGTGACGGAAATGTTACGCCCCTCACCATACTGTGATGCCGTCTCCCAGCAGGACGAGACAAAACCAATAAAACCTATTACAAACGAGGCAATTGTTGCATCCAGTGGGGACATAATTACTGATTATAATGACTTATACGGTCTTTTTACGCGTTGCGTTGCGTATCGCGCTGTGTAAACATAAAACCATGTCTGCATTTGTGATTGGAGAAACAACAAACAACAAGCCTACTCTGCACTGCTCAAAACTCGCGTTTGAATCATCAGTGGCAAATTATTTAATTTAAAAAAGTACTTACAGGCTGTGAGCAGAGGCGGACAAAGTAATCAACTCCATTACTTGAGTGAAAGTACAGATACTGCTGGTCAAAAATTACTCCATTACAAGTAAAAGTTGTAAAGACAGATTTTTACTTAAGTAAAAGTACAGAAGTACTTGCTTTTAAAAGTACTTAAGTACCAAAAGTAAATTTCCTTTTTTATGTCAATGCACTGTTTTATTGTTGTA